GTGTGAGAGAGGAAGCAGCTGCTTCCCGGCTCCTCCGTCTGCCACAACAAGGTTCCCAGCCGCCGCCGCAACCTCGCGCCCTCCTGCCACCTCACCGAGGAATCGCGCGTCACATAGAGAGGTTCACCCAAACATTCACCGTCTGTATAATACAACCAATGTCACATTCACTGTCTCTGTAATACCACCAATGTCACATTCACCGTCTGTATAATACAACCAATGTCACATTCACCGTCTCTCTAATACAACCAATGTCACATTCACCGTCTGTGTAATACAACCAATGTCACATTCACTGTCTGTATAATACAACCAATATCACATTCACCGTCTCTCTAATACAACCAATGGCACATTCACCGTCTGTATAATACAACCAATGTCACATTCACCGTCTCTCTAATATAACCAATGTCACATTCACCGTCTGTGTAATACAACCAATGTCACATTCACCGTCTGTGTAATACAACCAATGTCACATTCACCGTCTCTCTAATACAACCAATGTCACATTCACCGTCTGTATAATACAACCAATGTCACATTCACCGTCTCTGTAATACAACCAATGTCACATTCACCGTCTCTATAATACAACCATGTCACATTGACAGCCTGTGTAATACAACCAATGTCACATTCACCGTCTGTGTAATACAACCAATGTCACATTCACCGTCTCTCTAATACAACCAATGTCACATTCACCGGATTGGAATGATCGTTAGTTTCATATTGTAATCATTGACTTATGTCAAATTGGCAACAATCGTCTCAACGTCACTGACTCCGCCCACACACCCGGATCAGCCAATCACTGACCAGACATTTGGCTGCGTTCATTACATTGATCACATGTCACCCGATCACCATAACGATCAATTCCCAATCAGATTGGATCGTTCACTGACTCTGCTTTCAATATAGAGATCAACACATTATAACACAGAGGACGACACATTATAACGCGGAGGAGACATAACGCGGAGGACGATACATTATAACGCGGAGGACGAGACATTATAACGCGGAGGACGAGACATTATAACGCGGAGGACGAGACATTATAACGCGGAGGACGAGACATTATAACGCGGAGGACGAGACATTATAACGCGGAGGACGAGACATTATAACGCGGAGGACGAGACATTATAACGCGGAGGACGAGACATTATAACGCGGAGGACGAGACATTATAACGCGGAGGACGAGACATTATAACGCGGAGGACGAGACATTATAACGCGGAGGACGAGACATTATAACGCGGAGGACGAGACATTATAACGCGGAGGACGAGACATTATAACGCGGAGGACGAGACATTATAACGCGGAGGACGAGACATTATAACGCGGAGGACGAGACATTATAACGCGGAGGACGAGACATTATAACGCGGAGGACGAGACATTATAACGCGGAGGACGAGACATTATAACGCGGAGGACGAGACATTATAACGCGGAGGACGAGACATTATAACGCGGAGGACGAGACATTATAACGCGGAGGACGAGACATTATAACGCGGAGGACGAGACATTATAACGCGGAGGACGAGACATTATAACGCGGAGGACGAGACATTATAACGCGGAGGACGAGACATTATAACGCGGAGGACGAGACATTATAACGCGGAGGACGAGACATTATAACGCGGAGGACGAGACATTATAACGCGGAGGACGAGACATTATAACGCGGAGGACGAGACATTATAACGCGGAGGACGAGACATTATAACGCGGAGGACGAGACATTATAACGCGGAGGACGAGACATTATAACGCGGAGGACGAGACATTATAACGCGGAGGACGAGACATTATAACGCGGAGGACGAGACATTATAACGCGGAGGACGAGACATTATAACGCGGAGGACGAGACATTATAACGCGGAGGACGAGACATTATAACGCGGAGGACGAGACATTATAACGCGGAGGACGAGACATTATAACGCGGAGGACGAGACATTATAACGCGGAGGACGAGACATTATAACGCGGAGGACGAGACATTATAACGCGGAGGACGAGACATTATAACGCGGAGGACGAGACATTATAACGCGGAGGACGAGACATTATAACGCGGAGGACGAGACATTATAACGCGGAGGACGAGACATTATAACGCGGAGGACGAGACATTATAACGCGGAGGACGAGACATTATAACGCGGAGGACGAGACATTATAACGCGGAGGACGAGACATTATAACGCGGAGGACGAGACATTATAACGCGGAGGACGAGACATTATAACGCGGAGGACGAGACATTATAACGCGGAGGACGAGACATTATAACGCGGAGGACGAGACATTATAACGCGGAGGACGAGACATTATAACGCGGAGGACGAGACATTATAACGCGGAGGACGAGACATTATAACGCGGAGGACGAGACATTATAACGCGGAGGACGAGACATTATAACGCGGAGGACGAGACATTATAACGCGGAGGACGAGACATTATAACGCGGAGGACGAGACATTATAACGCGGAGGACGAGACATTATAACGCGGAGGACGAGACATTATAACGCGGAGGACGAGACATTATAACGCGGAGGACGAGACATTATAACGCGGAGGACGAGACATTATAACGCGGAGGACGAGACATTATAACGCGGAGGACGAGACATTATAACGCGGAGGACGAGACATTATAACGCGGAGGACGAGACATTATAACGCGGAGGACGAGACATTATAACGCGGAGGACGAGACATTATAACGCGGAGGACGAGACATTATAACGCGGAGGACGAGACATTATAACGCGGAGGACGAGACATTATAACGCGGAGGACGAGACATTATAACGCGGAGGACGAGACATTATAACGCGGAGGACGAGACATTATAACGCGGAGGACGAGACATTATAACGCGGAGGACGAGACATTATAACGCGGAGGACGAGACATTATAACGCGGAGGACGAGACATTATAACGCGGAGGACGAGACATTATAACGCGGAGGACGAGACATTATAACGCGGAGGACGAGACATTATAACGCGGAGGACGAGACATTATAACGC